TAACAACACTTTCAACTGTAGCATAGATGACTTCACAAAACAAATCAATGTTTAAAACTGACTGTCAAACCCGGTGCCATAAACACCAGGCCAATCCATTCAGAAATGGCCTTAATTAATCTCTGATTAACTCATCCTGTGAATCCATTTATCACTTGCACTCACCTTTTCCCTCTTTGAATACCTACCTATTTCACCTTCTCTTTCTTGTTCTCAACCGACAGTAATCTGTCATTAACAAAATCCATAGCCCTCTTGTATTTTTAGAATACGGTGATCTGAACCTCCAGCTGGTACGAGCAGCATCTGCCAAGAGCATAAATGTAAACGATCAGACGTTAATGGCCCTCTAACGGTAACAAGGAGAACGAATATAGCTGCAAATCTACCCCCGTCGTTCCTTTTGAGAGACCTCGTCTCATTTTTTTTTTTTTTTTGCTCCAATCCATGAGCCATGAAACAACAGTTTTGTTGCCATTTATAGAAACACCAGTTTCTCGAGATAAGAATCGCAAATACAAAACAACAGAAAGAGAGATGTCTTGATTGAATGCATAAGTTTAATGCAATCTATTTTGACAATATTCTGCACCAAAATATCTCTACTGATAATGGAAACCTACAGAGTGTTGTGTATCAGTAGCACAGTCCATCTTTGCCTGCTATCATGTCAGGGACAGAGAGTCCCTGATTTTGTCTTCTTTTTGCTTTTTTCTCAGTTTAACTTTAAGTTAAATTAGTAAAACTGTCATTTAATTAAAATTTTTTATTTAATTAATTACATGATATGCCAGTTAAGTAAGCAAATTAATCATAATTTATTGCATATATTAAAGGAATAGTTCACCCAAAAATGAACATTTGCTGGAAATGTACTCACCCTCAGGCCAATCAAAGTTGTAGATGGGTTTGTATCTGCATCGGAACAGATTTGGAGAAATTTAGAGGAGCATTACATCACTTGTTTACTATTGGATCCTCTGCAGTGAATGGGTGCCATCGGAATGAGTCCAAACGGCTAATAAAACATCATAAGTAATCCACACAACTCCAGCCCATCAATTAACATCTTGTGAAGTGAAAAGCTGCATGTTTGTAAGAAACAAATCCATCATTTACCTCTTAAGACCCGGAAAAACATTTTAGGAAAAAATTTGTATTTTTTCATGTCATTACATTGTTTAGAGCATTAAAAAAATGTTTTAAAAAAAAATATTAAAAATGATATTTCATTCATAAGTTATGCTACGTCCTTGGTAGAGGACATCGGGACTCAATTTCTTAAAAAAAAATAAAAAGACATGAATGAACATGCATAGGCAAAAACAATAGATTTTTTTTAAATCACCAATACATTTTTAGTTTTCAGGATTTTTTTATTTTCTTTGTATAAAGATAATTCTAAACCATGTTATAACAGAATGATTTGATATACCATTTTTCTTCATGCAAAATGTGTGTAAAATGGCCACAAACAGGTTTTCTCATTATATATAATGTATCTATAAACTAAATCTAATTTGCATATTAATGTGTTTTTGGGGCAACATGTAATGAAAAAAGAAGTGTAATAATGGGAGTAATAATTGACAAGATTTTCATAATAATATATAATATTTCATAGGAATATTGAAATATATTTTCTTTCCCTATTCATTTGTTGTGTCTCCCAAAATGCGTAATAAACATGCTTTTAGTCCCGGTGTCCTCAACTGAGGACATGTATGAAATCAACGTCCTGTTTCGTAACAGAAAGTCATATTTTGATTTGAAACCCCATAACATTTTCCTGAGATGTTGATTTATGACACACAGTTTAAAAATTAGTCAGATTTAAATGATAATTACAAAATATTATCATATTTCCATAAGAGTGTCACTAAATTAATATCAGACATTTTTGAAGACCAAGGAGAGGGAGTGGTCATGGTGAAACATCCAAACATTTAGTATCTCTGAAAAGCCCTGAATGTGCTCTGTACAGGACATATTATGGATAGAGGACTTGTATTTTAGCCGAAAACAACGGTTTGAAGATGTTAACTGATGGACTGGAGTCGTGTCAATTACTTGTGGGTTAATGTGATGCTTTTATCAGCTGTTTGGATTCTCATTCACTGCAGAGGATCCTTTGATGAGCAAGTGATGTAATGCTAAATTTCTCCAAAATCTTTTCAAACACAACTACATCTTGGATGACCTGAGGGTACTATTTTTTTTAGCAAATTGTCATTTTGGGGTGAACTGTTCATTTTAATATTTGCAGAGAAAAGCCCATATATATTGGACTAATCCTATTACATTTGGAAAATAAAATAAAGTGTGTGAAATATAATGTTCTCAGTGCCACTGCGCTCAACAGGCAGCCCAAACGACGTAACAGCCCCCAAAGAAAAACACACTGCTCCAGTCAGGCATAGGCTGGACTAGATCGTTCGTTGCATTATGGCTAGACAATAATTTAAAGGGGTCATATGATGCTGCTAAAAAGAACAGTATTTTGTGTATTTGGTGTAATGAAATGTGTTTATGCGGTTTAAGGTTTAAAAAAACACATTATTTTCCACATACTGTACATTATTGTTTCTCCTCTATGCCCCGCCTTTCTGAAACGCGTAGATTTTTACAAAGCTCATCGGTCTGAAAAAGCGAGGTGTGCTGCGATATACATTACCAGTGTTTCCCATACATTGATTTATTTGTGGTGTTTGACTTCGTTGAATAAACATGATAGCACTGCATGTTTCAAAATCAAAACACAGTGCAGGTGTTTTATATGAATGTCTTTGAAGGGAACCAACTGTCTTCAGAAAAGTTTCGATGGCATTTTCATTTTATCTGATAAAGCAGCGTTCATGAGCACAGCGCTGCTTTGTGTACAGCTGTTAACGGGGAAACCACTGTTACTACCGCTCCAGAAGCGCCTCCTGCTGGCAGATAATGAGCCCGTCTCCAGAAACATGTTTTTGTTGTTGCTCACTCTTTGTTTTTGTTTTCTGCAGCAACTCTGAGCACTTTTCATATTCTTTATCCTGGCTGAAGCACTTTTGTTTCAATCTATAAGAATAATCAGCCTATGTTATAGATTAAAGTTAAATATATTCATATTATTAAGGTGAGCCTGAGAGTCTTTTACATTTATTTGACAGTGATTTCACATTTCTTTTGTTTGTATGAAGGCTAAATACAAATAAAAGGTGAATGTTAATTTATTTGTGCAGTTTTTTTCCTAAAATATTATATAGTTTTATAGGAGGAGGTTTCATAGGTTTGGCAAATTCATTTTTCAGAAGTTTTAGGTACAGACATCTGTTGTGGGCATTCTTGGCAGTTTGAGGCTTTTTAAAATATTGTTCCTGTTGATATCAGAATTATGGAACTAGACGAAAACAAGGAGACAAACACACTCTACAAACTATCCCTGCAGCATTTAGGCAGGCATTTCCAACTGATTCAATATTATTAAGGTGAGCCTGAGAGTCTTTTACATTTATTTGACAGTGATTTCACATTTCTTTTGTTTGTATGAAGGCTAAATACAAATAAAAGGTGAATGTTAATTTATTTGTGCAGTTTTTTTCCTAAAATATTATATAGTTTTATAGGAGGAGGTTTCATAGGTTTGGCAAATTCATTTTTCAGAAGTTTTAGGTACAGACATCTGTTGTGGGCATTCTTGGCAGTTTGAGGCTTTTTATAATATTGTTCCTATCGATATCAGAATTATGGAACTAGACGAAAACAAGGAGACAAACACACTCTACAAACTATCCCTGCAGCATTTAGGCAGGCATTTCCAACTGATTCAAACAGGGCAAAGCAAATCACCGTAACAAATCATGATTAAAAAATTGTAAAAATCAAGGAAATTTCACTGGCATTTCTTTCTTTTTGCTGTATTGAAAACATACCGAACCGTGAAACCACTGTATCGTATCGAACCGCACCGTGAATTTTGTGAACTGTTACACCATATATATATATATATATATATATATATATATATATATATGTATATACATTTCACCTCTCTTAGTATTTAATCATTAGTATATCTGTTTCACAGCATCTCACAGCTTCCATGAACCAGTGATTTCCTCCTCGGGTTTTGTTTTAGCACTGCTGCTCTTGTTAGCGTGCATTTGGTAATTATATCTCATTTGCAAAGCAATTTCAAAGCCTCTCTTTCTGCCCTTAACACCTCTACAGGTGACACTAAACCTACTCCTTTTCTCAGATAAGAGGCTGCAATTTTAAAAGTGAAAATAACAAATTACAACAAAAAGCCAGATTTTTGTCTTTCTTTCATCCTTCTAGTCTGAACACGCATGGTGTAATGCATATTTGCTTTTAAAAACATGAATAATTCCTCTTTTTTCAAATGTTCAAGATGCAATTCTTACACAATACATGTATGTATCTATCTATCTTCTTAAAATATGGTTGAAATGAACAGAGCACTGTTCAGGAGTATCTGCAATCCAAACATAGAAAAGAAAAGCCACACTAACTGACATTACAGCTACAAATCTTAAAGTTTATAGGATTCTGTGGATCACTGGTGGTCTACATGTTAACCTTGTTTAATATTTCAGTGCAGCTTGACTTGAAGGGTGATTTGACTTGAAGGGTGAAACACAGCATCAATACATATACAGTGAATTTAATGTTGGATAATGACTTGAACTGACACAATTTTAGCTTTTTCATGGCGCTATCTTAAATTAAAATGAGAATTCAACATTTAAGGAAGGCAAAGCATCCTTTTTGTCAGGGTTTAGAGGCGGTGCCTTTATTTTGACACTTGTCACTGAATAAAGCCACCACTGCAATGGAAGGAAATAATGCAAGTATTTGCATGCACAGAAATAGCAATAATCATGATGAATGTATTCCAGATGCTAATTTTAATGTATGCAGCCGCGCTCCTCTACGACAGCACACAGATGCTCAGTTTTGCTGTAGTGACGAGGGTGCTGGAAGCTCATTTGCATGCCGAACTGCTATCTTAATGTGGATATTTATTTTAATTTAATTTCTTACCCGCACATACCGCACGGGAGGCTTTTGTGGCAAAGTCACATTAACCTCCGACTAGTTAATATTCATCTGGCGAAGTCCCCCCAGCACTTGATGAATATTCATGAGGTGGGCGAGGCCGTCCCCTCACTCCTCCTCCAGCTCCATGGCGCTCGCGCAGACATATTTATTTCTGCAAGCAGGAGCGCACGCGGCCATCATCCTCATCGTCCTGCAGCTAGGTCTGCGAGTGACAGTCGCTCAGCTCAGTATGGCAAACAAGAGCGTTTTGACCACCAAAGAGCGCTCTCTGAAGGGCAGGGAGGAGAAAATGGTCGTGGCAGGTAAATTCCGTCTCTCGTGAAATGTCAAGGGACACTGATGTTAAAGCAGCTTGATTTGACACTCGTGCGTTTCTCATAGAATAAACTCGTATGCCACATTACATCCGGGACATCAGGACAGTTGACGGCAACTTCCGCATTCAAACAAAAACCATGGTTACCGAAATACCGGTGTCGTGCCGAAAATTGATCGTCTGCCGAAAACAGATTGCTGTCCGCGTCCGTCCGTTTTACACTTGCCAAAAAGTGATTACAGACTCTACTTATTGAGTGAACTGCTATCTCTGCCTCAAAATGACTTGATTTCATTCATGGTTGTTATATTTGAGAGATTATAGCTCATTCATTCTTTTTTGCCTGTTGAAATACTTTTTGACAACAACCATGAATGAAATCAAGTCATTCTGAGGCAGAAAGAACAGTTCACTTTTTGGCAAGTGCATTTAAAACGGCATTTTATGGGTTTTATTGGCCATTTAAAGCCATTTCAACAGGTAAACAGGACTGAATGAGCTATAATCTATCAAATATAACAACAATGAATGAAATCAAGTCATTTTGAGGCTGAAAGAACAGTTCACTCAATAAGTAGAGTCTGTAATCAGTTTTTGGCAAGTGTAAAACTGCATTTTATGGGTTTTATTGGCCATTTAAAGCTATTTCAACAGGTAAAAAGGACTGAATGAGCTATAATCTATCAAATATAACAACAATGAATGAAATCAAGTCATTTTGAGGCAGAAAGAACAGTTCACTCAATAAGTAGAGTCTGTAATCACTTTTTGGCAAGTGTAAAACGAACGGACGCGGATGGCAATCAGTTTTCAGCAGACGAACAATATTCGGCACGACACCGGCAAAATGACACACTTGTAGTTACTAATATCATAATGAGTATAAAATCTCATTCATACACCGTAAAAGGCTTTAAAATCTCTGTAGCTTTGTATAATTGATTTGATGAGACGAGATGGGGTAAGTTTTGGGCTTTGAAACTTTCTTGTCATAACAGAACAGGTTTTTGGACAAATTTCATAAAAGCCTAGTAAACTTCTAATAATTGTCAATACTTGGGTTAACTGAGACGTGTCACCCAATCTTATTTGATACAACTTTATAATGTTTTTAAATATAAGTTGATATAATTTGCCTGTTTCATACTAATGCCATAACTGAGTGAAAAAACACCAAATTAAAAGTAATTTAATATAAAATAAATTTATTTAAGTATTATTATTTACATGTATTTATAATGATATAACAGGATGGGCATAACTCAAAAACTAGGCCCAGTTGGCTACTAGGCACTCTCTGCCCTTATTCCAAAAATGGTTGTGGTGTCCTCTACTTTAAATAAATAAATGTATGTAATCACCAGCAAACAACCAGGTGATTATGTGCCTTCAGATATAGCCATGACAGTTTTGCTGGCCTGGTGCATCCTGGGAGTTCTGGTGCCCTAGCAGTGTCCAGGGGCCCATCTGTGCATTATGCGCATGAAAGCTCCGCCCCCGTCACGCATTCCCGGCCCTTCTGTCGAAGCAGCTCGCTGTCACGGCATGGCGGAAGCTTCCGGGCCTCTGCATCCATGGGGGGTGGAACAGGGTTTTGGGGAGGATGATCAAACCTTACCTGCTGTTGCCATGCTGGAACAGTTTCGGCCAAGAACTGCCTGAGAAAATGTACTGATGTCATCGCCACAGTCACGCCTCTTTATTTAAATGTCTTTATTAGCAGTCTATTTAAATGTGATGTATCCAAATATGCATTTCATTAGATGTTGATGTTTTGTGCACAGCGTTTGCATGCAAATCTCTTTCAAATCTGTTTATTTTTACTTTTACTATTTTAGTATGAGAGCAGAGCAGCTTGAGGAAAACTTGATATTTAATGGAAAAATACATGTTTAGGATTGTAATTAGCGCAGGGCGATATGGCCAAAAAAATTATCACAATAAAATGTTTTCATATCAGCTGATATCGATAATTATCACGATAAATTTCAAATCTTTATTTCTTTCAAGCTTAAAGGCAGATTTGTAACTTTCTAAGTGGAAGTTGTAGAAACCAGACCGTTAATTGTGTTTTTAAACTGCTCTTTAAGATGACAGACACTTCACGTTTTTTTTTTTTTTTTACAGTTTTCATTTTTCAATTTTCATTTTTCCTTAACAAAATATACATATATCTTAATAGAAAAATGAATTTCTTAGTTTCTGCATGTTCTAATGGGTGATATTGTTTCAAGTCATGAAACAAGTTTGTGTTGGTTGACTTTGATGATGCGTACCTTCATCACAGTTTGCAGTGCAGGCTGCAATATTGATATTACATTTTTTCTCTCTTAGAAATTTGACAGTAGTAGTAACATCTGTAAAAATTGTAACAACCTCATTTTTGAAATGTAATTATTCTGACTGTTTGAGGCCATTGGTCTTCCATAGTAGCATACATGCACAGTTGCTATAGCTTAATCACACAAAACACTGTAATTATATTCTATTACTGCTTTAATACATTTAATACATGTCTACATTGATAATATAATATAATTTAATATGAATTTCCCACATTTCTGCACAAATACCATGGTGCAGTTAGTGTTACTACAGTAAATCCATGGTAAATAATGGGGATTTGTAGATTGAAAAGCCTTCTGACTGTATCGTTGCGCACAGTGTTTCTGCTGTTTGTCAGCGCCGTTTCATCTGGCTTTAAACTCGTTTAAATCACTGAGTCATTTGTGTTGTCTCACATCACTGTTTAGTGTTCACGTGACCAAGACTCATAAGTGAGTAAACGCATCTGCTCTAGTGAGCTTGCGCTGCGCTGCAGTTTGAACTTTGAACTGAGTGGATAAATGGTCCGTTTGGTGAGGTTCAAACGAGTAGAGCTGTTTCATTCCGCTTTTGTCGCATAAACATTGTATAGAACATTTATCAAATTCTTGTTATCGTTTTATCGAGGAAAATTATATCGTGAAAATTATCGTTTTATCACCCAGCCATATTGTAATTAACTAACTTCATTAAATTGAAGTTAATGAATAATTTGGGTAATTTTAGTTATGTTTAGCCTTGTCAGACTTGTCTGTATCATTAGCATTACTTGTGATTCAAATCCTTATTTTGGGAAATTATTCTTTCATTGGGCCTCATTCATGAAACACAAGCAGAACGATTTTTTGTGTAAATCATTCAGAAAAAAATTCTGACGCAAATTTTCGGATTCATCAAAATGTTCGTATTTTGAAAATGTTAGTTGGTATGAAAGAAATTTACACCTGCTCCCTACCATGTGTAAATGGTGCATAAAACATTCAAACGTTCTGTATTCTTTTAGACAAACTGATGACACTGCATTTTTATGAACTATGTATTAGAATGATATTTAACGAGTTCATTTGCCCTGTCTTTTTTCGTTTTTTACTCTTTAACTTTGGGTAAAACGCAGAGCTCGTCACTGTCCCTTTTTACACAGCCGTCCAATCACAGTGGAGGAGGGGCAGGACAAACATTACATTGACCAACCATGATCATACTTGTACAACACAACAATGGAGAAGTTAATATTGCTGGTTACTGCATTTTTATATTCAGTTATATTCTTCAAAATAAGATACTCGTAACATGTTACTGCCTTGAATATTCCAAATCATAGCAAACAACGCGTCACTCCAGAAAAATGCAGTGCCTCCAAAGCACCACCAGCTGGTCGTTTTCAGAAGAGCACCAGGCATTATGTCAGCTGGCAAAAAACGCTCTGGTGTAGACACGTTAATTTATTAATTTATTGTTAGGCATA